CAATCCAATTTCCTAAGGATGAATAATTAGGAAGACTAATATATATTTAAAGAGACAGAGAGAGAGAGAAAAAAATTTTTGTTACAAAAATTGAAAGACTGTTGAAAATAATCATCCCTTAATTATATATATATATAATTTTGAACAGTGTCAAAATACTTTGAAATGTAATTTTTATCACAAGTATCGCGATCAAAGTTTCTAAGAAGCAACGCGACCAAAAATAAGATATAAAAATAAGATATATATATATTATTACTTGTGATAAAAATTACATTTCAAAGTATTNGTATACGTCATAATACGTACTTCCTTTCTATTGTATATACTGTAAGGATAATTTTGAACAGTGTCAAAATACTTTGAAATGTAATTTTTATCACAAGTAATAATATATATATATCTTATTTTTATATCTTATTTTTGGTCGCGTTGCTTCTTAGAAACTTTGATCGCGATACTTGTGATAAAAATTACATTTCAAAGTATTTTGACACTGTTCAAAATTATCCTTACAGTATATACAATAGAAAGGAAGTACGTATTATGACGTATACTTTATTGATACATCATACCGTTTTGCGGAACGAACGTTGTTCGCGGCGGCGGTGACTAATCCGGCAGTAATTTAAAAAGTCCCCGTGCCTATGTAAACGCACAGGATGTCCAATTCACCTGGCGGTGGATACTGCAATCTTATATCCTAGTATTATCACTACTCAAAGTCAATTAAACCAGTAAACTCAACTTCAGGTTGTTCTAGGAACACCGCTTATGGAAATGGACGCATGTTTGATATCTTTTTGTGGTTTATCGTAGGAAGATTAACAGCAGTGACGTCAATAACACGAGTTTCCCGAAACGATACCGAAATAACCTGTTCACATAACGTTTTTCACAACTGAAGATTTTGTTGTGCTATTTCGAACCGGGATCTAACGAAGAGATCACGTTTCATTATTATCCGATCATCGATTTTCGCAGGAACACGTACAACCACGAGATCGAACTTACAATTTACATTTTTAACGCTAATTGTTTCAATTTACGATGCTTCAGATTGTAAAGATACATATACGAGTTATTTTAGAGAAATATTACAATAATTATTCGCAACGCTGTATCACAAAAGTAGACCCGAGGATATTTTTTAAATGAAATATATACATTTGTAATTATACATTTACACTGTAATTATACAATTTTTCTGATACTTAATCTTTACTTTCATAGCCCTGCGTAAACATTTATGTGGATTATTATTATGTGGATTATTAGCAACGCATTATAAAACGGCTCAATACATTCTCAACGTAATAACGATGTTTGAACATATCAATTTGTTGCTAATCTTTCTAATCGCTTAATTCTATTCAGGATAACAGTTAAGTATTTTTTAATTCGGGGAAGCCTGGAATCGATTAATTTCGACTAATGGCGCTTCATTAGCAAATAATGTATTCGATTTGTGGGAAAACACGTAAGCAGAATATCTCCGGAAATAAGCAAATTGTAGGCGCAATTACACAGGTTCAAGGAATACTCCGGGTTTCTCAAGCGTTCGCGAATGATGAACCTGCGATCATTTTTTCTTTTTTCCTTCTTTTTTTTGTTTCGATTAGACTCAGCAGGCTTCAACTGTTCGACAGCATGGTATTTACGTCGCGAGACAAGCGTTAATAAAAAAAAGAGGAAAAACGAATGCAACAATTCTCCCGTCATTTTTCATTGTCCGTTGCCTCTTTTCGATGCACGTAGAACATTGTCATTATCGATTTCCTTAGTATTCGCGGATTGAATTCGCCTCGATGGTCGAAGGTTGCGCGAAGATTAAGATTCTGCGACAGTAAACAGGAAGGAAGACTACGAACTGATTGAATTGCTTTCAGATGTTCGCGATTCGTACGAACCTCGCGAAACCATGATATCATCGTTTTGTTCAAGACCGACCGCGAATTATCAGTCTAGATCGAATTGAGTCATCGGAATACAGATACGGAGAACGGCGTTTTAGGCGCAGGTAATTATGTTTGCTTCTTCGTCGTCGCGTCAGCGCAAATCGCTTCGGCTATCGTATAGTTACCCGCAATTCATCATTTCGGGAAAAAAAACCCGTCTGATCGTTCGTGACGAAAGAAAAATATGCAGAAGTTGATCGTCGCCGGCAAACAATTTTGATTGCATCTTTGAATTTTTAGCTAATGCTCGAGGAATCTGGTAGACGTAACATTGCTCGTCCGTTTCAACTGTGTGTACGATAAGTGTGAAAAACGTGTACATAAAAACATAAGCGATGATATTAATCGTCATATAATATATATATACATATGATATATAATTATATTTATTATATATTATAATTAATATATGATATTAATTATATTTATTATATATTATAATTAATATATGATGTTAATATTATATATTGTATATATAATATATACAATATAATATCATTATATATTGTATATTATTATTATGATGCATTCGGTTAAATTGTACGCAGATCGAAATTAGAAATCGTTTTGAAACTATTTGTAAACAAATAAATATTTCATTCGTGTTTACTTAATGGTCAAACATAAGATTACTAAAAATAGAATAATGTTGTCAAAATTCCCGGGTGATTCATTTTCGAGATCCGTACATTATATTTCGATCTGATAGCAGCTTTCATTGTGAGCATGTACCAGTAGCACGTTACGTTAATCGCTTGATGAGGACAGTCAACGCGGTCTGTCAAGATCAAGTGTGATAACTAAACTGCAGATTTTCACGTAGAATGAAAAAATGTTGATCATAAATAGTAGCGAACTAGATAGAAATGTCTTGATTTAATAATTTTTTTTATTTTTTTTAATAATTTATTACTGTCAATATGTTGACAGTAATATATACATACATACATGTTCAGAGATTCTTTAAATTATTCTGTTGTTCGAAAATATTCATTTTTATCATAAATGCATAAAATCCACGTCTGATGGTTTCACTAACAATAATGGAGAAATTTTTAATGCTATTTCAATTTGAGATGCGTAGTCGAGTTTTGATACAAGAGAAAATGAAATGATAGTTACTAAATGTAGCTGATAAGAGAGAGTGATTACATAATCGCAATATTGTAGAGTTTGTTGCGTTTTCTTATCTCTAGTAATCTGTGATCTGTTTGCCAGCATATCATAGCATTTCGATGTTATGTATGGAAATCTGTACGCGCCAGATTATATTGTGAATCGCGTCATGAGTTCAAGTTCAAGGTCGAGGTTAAATTAGTGCATTAATTGATAATATCGTTTCACGTGTTCGTAGAACTGATAACACATTTTTCTTTTTTTTAATGTAAAGTGTTGAGCTACGATGACTGAAAATGTGACTCGCGCGATGCGTTTCGAACGGTCAGTCCGTAATGCACAATTTTGTAACACTTCCGATATGATTAATTTATGCGCTTTGGATTCTCGGTATAGAATGCCGATAGATATTCACGAAAGGCTATTATGCATTACGAAACTTGGAGCAAAAGTTATTGCAGCCGATTATTTCATATGCTAATTATCTGTGAAAACAGAAAAAAAACCGTCGTAAGAATTAATTACTTTCGGATGAATTAGCTATCACGGTTCTTGAAATAATGTTCATATAAGGTCTACACCGGTCTCTTTGATGTACCTTTTTTTCACTAAACGCAACCAATGCGTTTCCAACCTCGGGACTTTATGTAACAATAATCTTCTTTTTTTTTCATTCCATGTTAGTGCAGAAGATTCACACTATCCATACTCTCGGACAATTAATGTATTGCCTGATCGATGAAAAATTCTCGTATCCTGGTAAGCAATACCTTGCTGGTGCACTCGCTGCACATGGAACAACCGTAATCTTGTATCAAACAATATTATTACGATATTATACAATTGATCGACGCTGTGTTTCGTATCATATTTCTTTGTCACACAATTCTATAGTGAATCTCAGAGAAATCAAATAATCGTTGACATGTTTCGATTCCAATAATTCCAACACCCGTACGCTGGCCAATGTAAGTCGAATTTCTTTTGCACCTCGAGGAATTCCTTATTTTTCAGAACTTCTACTTGAGAATATATTATTTGTACGCTGTCTGTACGTAATTACATAAAAACAAAATTCTGCAACTTTTCGGGATATTTTTAGACGACGTTTAGCAAAGAATGTTTCACAAACAATATTTACAATTTTGTTTGCTGCGAAAATTCGCTCCAAGGAAGTAAAATAGTCGCCCAGAAATCCGCAAATTTTTCAATTTTACGTTACAACTCCGCAAACTGTAAGATCCAGAACGCTTGTTTATGCAATTAAAAAAAATTGTAACTAGTTATATCAAGTTCAAAACAGTGCAAACATTTACAGATTTAAGGACACTGTTGCATTATTCTGAACTTATGAAAATTATCGAAGGAGGAAACGAAATGCTGCGTAATGCTCGTATGTTGCAATCGACGCAGATGATTTTTTATTTTGCATAGAACTCCGCGGACTAGTTTATAACATAACCAGATTTTCAGGGATCAACTTTACCTCCTTATACTGAATTTAAGCGGCGAACGAAAACAACGTAATTCACACTTTTCGATCAAACGCAAAATTCGCTGGAAGAATTTATGTCGATGTGAATCGTCTTCGCGGAGCCCGGATCGACTGGGAAACAATAATATTAGAGTGCGTATGACCGGTCGAGAGCCTGACATTCGCGGAAAAACCAAAACTGCTGAGATGCAACGATAGTAAACAGCTGTTGTTGCGGGAAACTGCGGAGCGGTGGTTTCGCGTTCCCCGCGATGCGATGTTACGTAATTATCTTAGAGCGGTGCACGTGTAAAGATCGATGGCTATAAAAGCGGTAACATGAAAGGATCGGAGCACAGTGCATCTGGAGAGACAAGAACTCTCCACAATGGCCGGAGGAACGTCCTGGCGTGTTAGTGCTTTGTGCATACTTTTATTCGTCTCGGCCCTGTCGGCTCTACCGACGTCAGGTAAAAGGACAATCGGCCCTTTGTTTTGTTATTATACCATTTGATTCACCCTTAATTTTCATCTGTGCGTCATTCTAAAACTGTAAATCAATTTTTATACTTGTTTATCATTCGGCCGTCAAAGAAATAATTTAGCAGAAAAAGATTGACGTAAACATTTATGCTTGCATAGAAAAATTAAGCATGGTTCGAAATCTATGGTTTCTGTCATGATATTTCATGGTATTTTACATTTTAAAATTTAAGCTGTATTATTATTTTCTTTTTATTTCTCTATATTGCTTTAACTTGTAACTATTTTTCTTTTATTATAATATTTATAATATCTTATAATATTATTTATAATACTTTATATATATATATATAATATTTTATATATTTTTAAACAGTCTGAAATGTGCTTCATAGATCGTTTCTGCACTTTATGACTCCTTTTTTTACAACATCGGAAGTGACATATCCATTTCGTGAATTTTTATTGTTGCATCATTCTTCTCTTTGTTGGAATTCCTATATTTTCGGATATCCTAGTAATTTGAACTCTGCGTCGTTGATTCGCGTGACTAAACACTAGAAAATAATTTTTAGAACCGGACGCAGAGTTAATAAGCGATGTGGAGGACACCACATTGTCGACCGAACTGAAGCCTCCACCACTACCAGACCAGGAGCAACACGAATACGTGCTGTTTGTTATAAATCTTTACGGAGTGAAAAATGCCAGCGGCGAAACTTCGGAAGAAATGTTGGAGAATGAGGTTCTCGACAAAGTGCCAGAATTGGGAGGTAATGCGGCACAGACTATGCGAACGCATCCATCACTTTCTTGATATATAATTATAATAAACGATACTAATAATAATAATAATGCTAATAATAAGTAGTGGATGATAAACATCTAATAATCTTGACAAGATTTTAAGAAAATACAAAATTTGCCAAAATGTGTTTCCACCTTTAGACACTTCAATTTTTTCGAATGTTCTCTTAGTTTTGCATTTGATATAGTCATCTTCTTTTTTTTTAAATGCACCAAATTTGCGGTTTACCAATTACGTTTGAAGTGAATTTGTATGATACAGTAAATTCTCCCTAATTCGCGCTCAAATTGTGCACAAAAATGAGCAATTTGGGAAGAGGAGATACGATTATTCGAGCCTTGCAGTTCGTTTTTATAGTTACCGCTTGTCAACAACTAAAAATGTCAATTACTTTCGACAACTTGTCGTCAAAATCTTATTGTCAATTTCACAAATAGCAAAATCTTTTTTAAATGCGGTTTTTTTCGTAAATTCTCTTGTAAACAAAAATGAACAATTTGGAAAGTCGAGATACGATTATTCGAGCCTTGCAGCTCATTATAGTTACCGCTTGTCAACAACTAAAATTGTCAATTACTTTCGACAACTTGTCAAAATCTTATTGTCAATTTTACAAGTAGCAAAAGCTTTTTTAAATGCGGTTTTTTTCGTAAATTCTCTTGTAAACAAAACTGGACAATTTGGAAAGTCGAGATACGATTATTCGAGCCTTGCAGCTCATTATAGTTACCGCTTGTCAACAACTAAAAATGTCAATTACTTTCGACAACTTTTCGTCAAAATCTTATTGTCAATTTCACAAATAGCTAAATCTTTTTTAAATGCGGTTTTTTTCGTAAATTCTCTTGTAAACAAAAAAGAACAATTTGAAAAGTCGAGATACGATTATTCGAGCCTTGCAGTTCGTTTTTATAGTTACCGCTTGTCAACAACTAAAATTGTCAATTACTTTCGACAACTTGTCGTCAAAATTTTATTGTCAATTTTACAAGTAGCAAAAGCTTTTTTAAATGCGGTTTTTTTCGTAAATTCTCTTGTAAACAAAAAAGAACAATTTGAAAAGTCGAGATACGATTATTCGAGCCTTGCAGTTCGTTTTTATAGTTACCGCTTGCCAACAACCATAAAAACGAGCCGCAAGGCTCGACCAAACGTATCTCTCTTCCCAAATTGTCCATTTTCGTGCACAACCTGAACTCGGACATTGTCAGACATTCTAACGCAGAGTTTAAATTCGAGCAGAGCCACTGGCCACCGTTCTGTTGCTGATCGAAGTCGACGATGAGAACGAGGAGACCGACGCGCCGGTGGACCTGGACGAGGTCGCTGACGACTTGCAGCACGGAGAGGGCTTCCACGTGGACAAGATCAAGGATAACGGTCTAACGAGAGTGCTCCGAGTGAAGCTGGAGAAGAGCGACACCGAAGGCATCGTGCTGCCATCGTCGAAGATGGAGAAGATGACGAAAGTTCGTAACAGGAGGTCGCCTTGCCTGAAGTGCAAGCTGAAGGGCGGTGGATTCGGCGGCGGAGGCGGCGGAGGTGGGTTCGGATTCGGAGGCGGATTTGGCGGCGGATATGGAGGTGGTTCGCTCGGAGGTGGACCCGGATGCGGTGGTGGAGGTTGTGGTGGAGGAGGCTACCCAGGTGGAGGAGGCTACCAGGGTGGCTACCCTGGTGGTGGCGGCGGTGGCTACCCTAGCGGTGGCGGCGGTGGCTACCATGGTGGTGGCGGCGGCGGCGGCGGCTACCCTGGTGGTGGCGGCGGCGGCTATCCTGGTGGTGGTGGCGGCGGCTACCCTAGTGGTGGCGGCGGCGGCTACCCTGGTGGTGGCGGAGGATGTGGAGGAGGAGGATGCGGCGGAGGTGGGTACTATAAACATAGAGGTAGTTAGTGTAGTGGTAGAGAATGAAATCGCTATGTCCCACGGAGAGGACGCGTGGTCTTCATGGCTGATATCATTGGGAACCTAATTAGTAATTGCACAGAAAAGGAAACAGCTCGCCGATGTCGACGATATACAGTAATATCTCCCTAATTGACGCCGAAATTGTGTACAAAAATGGACAATTTGGGAAGGGGAGATACGATTATTGGAGCCTTGCAGCTCGTTTTTATAATTGTTGTTTAAAAAACGAGCCACAAGGCACGAACATCGTATCTCCTCTTCCAAAATTGTGCATTTTTGTGCACAATCTGAGCGTCAGTTAGGGAGACATTATTGTACAGTGAGGGACAAATGTATGTGGACAACCTTTAAAAAGGGTGCAACTTGTTTAAAACTGGACCGAATGACTTGAATATTTTTTAATGTAGAGAGACTAGCTTACCGTTCAGTGACTAAAATACTTCTTTCAAATTTTGCTGTTACTTGGAATGACAAAAAATTTAAAAATCTAGCTTTTCAACTCCTTTATCCGAGCTAAAATACATTTCAGTCATTACCTAGAAGACTGTTCTTTTCATATTCTAAAAAAGAATTCAAGTTGTTTAGTCAGCTTAAAATAAAAGTTATATAGCGTTTTAAAGGATGTCCACATATATTTATCATATATTTAACGCATCGTGTATTGTCAAGCTCGTCATATCGAACAACTTTTCCCTAGATAATCGCAAAAATATCGATTACCTAACCCGAAATGTACTGCAACTTTTTTCAGCATCTTTTGCAGCAGACATTTTCAAAAATATTTTTGCGAATATCTCGGAATCACCGAAAAGTTGTCTAGAACGATGAAGTTTCCTCTTTCTGTGCGATTGCTATCTAATTCTTTGGAAGCAACCCGCATGTATCCTGAGGTGGAGGGAGAAGGAACAACTTTCTGCATGATACCCTCGGCATTTTTCCTTCATTTCTGCTCTCTCATCGATTGGCAATGATTAGACTGCGGATTATCAACATGGAAACACTTAGCCTTTAGAAGCAATTTACATGTGCTCTGAAACGAAGGCTAAAGAAACAACGTTCTGTATGTTGACCTCGACGTCTGCTTCATTTATCATCGTTTAGCGATGATTGGACTAAGGATTTTTATTCTAAGTAAAGATTATCCGCATCGGTTCGAGAGATAGCGGTCAGATAGACGTTTCGTGTTTCTTATTCGGTCGCTTTAAAGAGCTGAAAATAGTCTGTTGATATTTTTAAATTGCTGTTTCGAATTGCGTTCTTGTTGCGCACGCTTGAAATCCGCAGTCTAGCGATGATGATGTTTAATTTACGGTTCGGTCTACGGTTTTTTCAACATCGGAGACTTCAGATGTACCCAGCAACACTTCGCATTGAGCATTCAAGTGTCATCAGTCTGAAGTGATTACGCTGTGGACGGCTATTATGTCTGACGGTGTAGGTCAAGACTCTCTTTTCGAAACACAGGCTACGAGAATGTGTCACATCTGTTCTTTTCTGATTCGATCATGTTTTCTCAGTGTATTGACTCGAAGCATGCTTTCTCAGTATACTGATTTACATGCATGCTTTTTCAGTATATCGATTTACATGCATTTTGTTCGGTATACTGTTTTACACGAATATATTATTGCATTCACATTTTATACAGAAATATATATTAGATTATATATATATTCCAATCATTATGGAGACTGATCAGCATTGACCTAAATAGAACATCCGGTTATTGAAATGTACCCTTCTGATACCAGCATCGACTCGCACACAAATTGATGATACTAACGTCCGTAGATTATTTCACTGGCTCTCGTTAGGTCAGAAAAGTTATCTGGCATCAATAGGGTAAACAAATTGCTCAAGCTTTCGCAGTAGCGTAATTATCAAAGGGAATGCTTTATATTTTGCGCAATAGTAGTCGACTGACAATGTCATTTTCCACACGCATTACCAACTTCTCGATTCTGCTATTAGAACCGACTTATCCGGAGTTACACTCTTTCAATTTTGACGGAATGAGAAACTCGTTAAAACACTACAAAGGTCGCTTTGTAGGCTCAGTATACAGTCTCGTAGAAACACGTTAACACCGTAATTAGGAAATAACAATGTATCGAATGTTGCAAACTGCATGGATACTCTTCTTACTTTCCAAGCATGCGGTAGATTGATAATAACAACTCTGTTATAATACTGAGTTCCCGAACAGAAAATACACCTTAGTTTTACGTTAAGTTTAGGGTAAGTCGACGACGACGATGTTACTGTACAGTGCACCGTCAGCACTGGCAGTGTAAGTAATAGTGTGAGAAAATAGGATACATCTAGCTCTACAACTGCAGCAACGCATCGCTTCCGCTTCTGACGCTAATTGGTTTTTATAGGGCAAACACAAACGATTGGTATACCAATAGTTCTTATACCTGTTGCAGCGAGTTATCCATCGCATTATCCCAGCGGAGGTGGTAGCTGCAGCACTTGGTAAGTATTGATAACAAAGATTATATATAAAAGAAACGCGGTCAATGTTTTATTAAACGGTCTAAGAAGATCCGTGCATAGATATATCAATATTTTATTTAACGCTACAACAACCGAGCTCTTAATAAGCGACTAATGTATATTGTTTTATAACAATGACAAGATTTTATCCATTCGAACATCGTGCCATTTCTTTGATATTTCGAATAGCAAGTTTATCAAAAGATTTCTCGTACAAGCATTTTTATGATATCGGGAACTGTAAATGAAAAAATCGGAAACCGGTCATTTCTCGACTGGTGATCTGAAAGCAACGATTTCCAAGGGTTCAGCTTGCACTGGCTGTTTCATTGTTATAGTGTGCACTGGTAAGTCAATTGCCATTCAACAACTATTTTCAAATTGATTATAACAGTTATAGGCCCTGCGATAAAATAAACTAATTAGACGATAGCATGGATACGGTAATTGCAGCGTGTCTGCTCGAAGAGTACAGTAAATTCTCTGCAATTGTCCCTCAGCTAGTAAACAAAAGTGGACAATGTGGATACGATTGCTCGAGCCTTGTTTTTACAGTTGTTGACAATCGGCGACTATAAAAACGAGCCGCGAGGCTCGAATAATCGCATCTCCCTTTCCCGAATTGTCCATTTTTGCGAGCCGAGGAACGATTCGAGAGAATTTACTGTACAGTAAATTGTCCATAAAATAGTTGTCCATAAAAGTGAACAATTTTGGAAGAGGCGATACGATTATTCGAGTCTTGCAGCTCGTTCTTATAATCGTTGGCAAAATCGGTAACTATAAAAACGAGTTGCAAGGCTCGAATAATGGTATCACCTCTTCCCAAATTGTCCATTTTTGTGTGCAATCTGAGCGTCAATTAGGGAGACATTACTTTATCCCGATTTTGACGCTGTTTTAGCGGCGGCGGCGGTGGCGGTGGTCACGGCGGATACGGCGGTGGTTCGTATTCGCAAGCCTCGGCGCAGGCCTCTGCTCAATCTCAATCTTGGTACGTGCGAAGTTTCACTTAGCTGTTAATCAGGCGGATGTCCAGCCGTACGATTTATCGCACCTGTTAACGAAATAATTTTCCTCCAGGGGCAAGTAAACGAAACGGAACCCGGGAACGAAGGAGCTAGCGAACTTCATGCTGCCTGGAAGCGTACGAGCGCGGACACCTAACGGACCCCGGACGCGCGCATAAACGCTTAACAACATTAATTTTTGTACAATAAAACGTACGTCATCCTGATCACCCATTTCTCGAACGTGTGTAATCGAGCATGAAATAAATTAAGGAAACGACAGAGGCGGATTCGTTTGGTTCCAATAAAACACCAGGATTTACCGCGTTATCCGGCGGCAGGCGACTCGCAGGAAATAATCGCGGGCCGCGGCGACATAATTGATGCCCGTCGTTAGAGGGGAAGAAACGACGCGTTAACGAGCGTCGTTTTGCATACCGTGCGCGTTGCGCGCCGGCTTTAACGGTCTACTCGTCCCCACGATCGATGATGTACCTGCGTTTACGATCGCAAAACAATCGATCACATGTTACGCGATGATTTTTTTAACGCGAGAGTCGGCCTTGAAGGGTTTACGTTCACGGCGATCCACGGGGAAATCTAATGGAACATGACATACGATTGTTCCTCTCGTCTAGCGGTAGCCGCTGACCTTGGAACTCTTGTTGCTAATTAAATACGCGTGCGATCATTTATGCGGTAAGCGGGGAAAAATGCGTAGCCGTAAGTGATTACAACTGTTTACAGTTCCGTATCGATTTCTCATTGATTGACTGTTGCTTGAGTTGCACGAGAATGGCATAGGGTAGACGCGCCAGTTACCGTGCCCTTAAACTAACTTTCCGCAAGTTTTGCTAAATAAAGCTGTTTCTTCTACTCGATTTTACTCTAGTTAAACTTTTCAGTTTTTCTGGTTATTTAACATTTTTTTCAAATACGTGTATTGAAATGGATTTGAGATATTAGACGAAATAAAACATAAGCCTGATATCGCGCAGACGTAATGAGTTAATGAGCCCCATTTACTGTGCTCCGTAGATAATTACTGTGCTAAAAATACTGGAGGCTACTGTCTATACCGAATACTGTGCTCCAAAGTACTGTAGACTGTACCGAATACTGTGCTCCAAATTGTCGAAATTGCTCATTATTACAATTGTTTCTATAGACTACGTAATTATGGCATTATTCATGCACATAATAATGTAGATCGAATAAATAAGCAATTGTTAATGTAAAAGTCAATGCCTCGTTGTTCATCGAAGCAAAGTTATCCATTGAGATTGATTAACTAATTATGTTCCAAAATGATCAAGTCGGAAGACATTTACGAATATACTGCAAATGTTTAAACATGTGCGATTCACTGCTGCACATGGTACGCCAGTAACTCGATTTCGATAGTTCCGAACATGTTCAGTAGATGTCAGAAAGTGCTACGAAATTCCCCTTTCGCGGCTGACACAATTTTTTGAAATGTAGCCTGTAGTATCAACGTGCAGTGAAGTACAAATTATTATCAAATATTAACCACTTGACATACAATGACGTCTGGGAGACGTCATTTACTTCATGTGCCATTGTAGACTTTGACGTCTCCAAGACGTCAAGAACTGTATTTGGCGAACGCCGTGCATTTCATTATTAGATTCTTTAATTGTTTCGGTCGTGCATTGATACTGTTTTGTTTAGACTGTTGGAGATGCTTTCCCCCTCCTAACAGTACCGATAAACAAAATTGCATCGACAAATAAAACCGACCTGTGTTCTGGAGTATAATCGTGGAATGGGAGGTGTAGACAAGCAGCAGGACCAATCTCTTGCATGTTTTCCCCTCATGAGAAAAAGTGCAAAAGGATATAAAAAAATATTTTTTTATATGTTTGATGTAGCTATTTATAATGCTTATGTTTAATATTCCAAATTGCCTACTTCACAAAAGCAATCGATTGTGAATTTTCGATTGAATATTGCAGAAGACATGCTTTGTAATTTGTCCCTGCCGGACTATCCGATACGCGGCAGACGGTCGCAAAGTGAATGCCCAACTCGGTTACAAGCAAAATATTGGACACATTTTCCTGAACATATACCCGCGACAAATAAAAAGCAACATCCTGCAAAAAGATGCCATGTTTGCGTAAAACATAATATAAGAAGTGAAACAA